TTCTTGGTTTTCATACCGCGGCCGCTATTCGCCCGCGGGAGTTATTAACCAAACAAAATGAAAAAGCCGTTTCAAAAAGAAAACAAAAGCAAAAAAAAAGAAAAACCCCTTTCTATTCGGGGCTTCCGCGGGATTTTTCCTCAGGGATACGGCAAGTCGCGCGGTACGGATCTGGGCTTATCACATCTGTGATACGCAGGGGGTTCCGAAAAATTAGCAGTCTCCCGACTGCTGATGCCTTCATATCATGGATGATCGGGCGGCCTCTTCATCGTCAGCTGGCCCGATAATCTTCCTAATCTACGTGGATGCATCCTACATCCTCCATCGCCTCCTCCCATAGTATACATTCGATCAGGCGGCCCCTTCATCGTCAGCTGGCCCGATCGGTAAGTAATTTTTTTTTTTTTTTTTTTTTTTTTTTTAATTATATATACAGCGCGTATCGTCGCGCGAGCTTTAGATCCGGAAAAGAAGAAGAAAAAGAGGAGAAGGAGAAGGAGTGGACAGGGGAGAGGTAGACGAGGGTGATCAGAGGAAGTGATCTATGTCGGGATTGAGAGGGGGCGGAATAGCTGGAAGAAAAGCGGCCATTGCCGCAGGAGTCGTCGGCGCATCTTCCTCATGGAAGTGATGCTGGACGAATGAGGGGTAAAGGAAAGCCCCCGGCACATGTGAGAGGACACGTGGCGCCAGATCTGCTACCACTCGCACCACCCGCTTGCGCACTGATCGGGGCCCTGGACCCATCATCACCACATGAGTCTCGGTGTAAGGCAGCCGCTCCCGCTTCTGCGCCGCGAAGACCAGGAAGTGGTACATCGCATTTGGACGCTGCCCGGTCTCGTAGATGAGCGTCCCAGCCAATCGCGCCACAATACACCCTTGGAAAGGGGGTGTCAGATATTGCTCCCACGTCGGATCAGGGCGCGGCGCCCCCGCGATGGCCTCGAGCCTGATGGTGGTGGGCTCCACCATGAAGTCCACCTCGGTCGGATGGACCGTCCGACTGGGATGAACTACTAATGTCAATGACCGGGGCACCCCGGGGTGGCTGGCGAGGACAGAGAGGTCCCATGAGGCCGGGGGGGTCTGGATATGGGATCGGGAAATCCCATTCGGCTTCCTCCTCCGGCTGCTGCTGTTGATGATGGCCCAACTCCATCAAGATTGAGATCGGGCACACGCGGAATGGGCGGCGATGGCACGATAGTCTCCTTAACGAGCGTCGCCACACTCCCCGGCACAGGGTCAGGAATCCGCGTACGCGCGGGCTGACTCACCTCCTCGCCGCCGCCGATCCTGCTGCCTTGCGATCCTGGTGACGGGTGGCGTCTCTTCCTCTTCGGCGTCTTCTTGGGGGCCTTCGGTGGCGCTGGTCGAGGATACGACGAGGGAGGCAACGACCTTTCCTCCGGGAAGTCCTCCAATCTCTCCGCGCGCTGCGCAATGTAATCCGGAATGACGACATCGTTGTACGTTCTTCGCGGGGCCGTCGCCGTCCGCAATCGTGGTTGGATCTCCTCCTCCTCGCTCGCGATTACTTGCGCAATGGAGAGGAGCTCAAGATATATGAGCTCCAACAATCCCGGATCGATTGTCTGGAGCTGGGCGAAGGGGTATAGCGCCACCGTCCCTTCCTTCTCGCCTGGCTTGGGCCGCGCGATGATGTAGTAAACGACGAAGTGCTCCCCGATAGCGTGGTCTTTGTGATCCACGAAGAACCGGAACATCCCCAGCGCCACCGACTTGTATAGCGCACGGTGCAACTCCCACGTGTCTTCGTCGGCGAAGGGCAGCGGCTCCACGTCAGTTAGCTCCACCAAATACTCCGAGAACTCGCACATGGGGTAAGGGCCCTCTGTGAGCTGGTAGGGGAGGGTGGTGTAGGAGAAGAAAGGAGGCATTTAGTACGGGACAGGAAGAATAGCTTGGAGGTCGAGAGGAGCAGCGGGAGGGATAAGCGCAGGGAGCTGCGGCACCAACGCAATCGGTCCGTCCTCTGCCCTACGCAGCACCACTTCGTGGGCTGTGAATCGGTGTCCCCCCCGTCCTTGCACTCTGGCCACTGATCTGGCCGCTTCCACCGCGTATTCGCGCACAAAGCTGTGCGCCGGCTCCCGATTCTGCTGCGGTAGGACCGTCAAGTCTCCGATGAAGGTGGCGACGCTGTGCACGAAATTGGGTGCCACCTGGAGCGCACGAAACTCAATGAATACTCAGGTCGTCTCCCGGCCAGGCAACTGCGTCACGTCCACGTACACTCCCGCATATGTCAGCCGATCGCAAAGCAACGAGTACGCTGCCAAATCAGAAACCCCGGGCGCTGGCACGTTCACCTGTTGGATGTCGTACCACAACTGCCTCTCCTCATTAAACCGATGCCGCAACAAGCGATCTGCAAGCGGTGTCTGGAAGTGCTCGAGGGGCTCATGCTCCGGCTGGCGATGGTTCATCCTGCTCCCTGAAACTCTCAACACCAATGGACGAGGCAGATCGAGAAGAGGAGGAGGATGAAGAAGGAGAGGGTGATCTCGCAGGAGCGGGGGTCTGTAGGGGACCCAACGATGGATGGAATGGCCGGAGCGCGGCAGCGTGCCGTGTCAGCGGTCGGGCCTGGGAGTTGTGACGGGGAGTCAGCTTCACGGATTGTTGTCCCTGTGCGCCAACTTCCGTGACCTCGTAAATGCCTGTGTAGCGTGGGTGGATCTTGGAGGAACGCGCAGATTTCTGTACCTGCACCAAGTCCCCAACTTTATGTCCCGCCGACGCGTGTCGATTCTCGCAGTCACGGATCTGCCGTTAATGTGTCCAATCTACGGCCTGCTGTCGACGGCGAGCTAACGGGGGATAGGCCCTAGCCATTAAGTCCATGTAGTGGCGGGCCTTGTCTCGATTTTGGGCCCGTGTTGCTCTAACTTCCGTACCTACTAAGGGGGACAATTGCACCCGAGCGACACTATTGGTTCTCAGTTGAAAGGGGGACACCCCAGTACTACCATGTGGGGTAGCCCGATAAACGGTCAAAATGTGATCAACAATGATTGACCAGGGTCGGGTGTCTCCCGCAGTGATATTCCGTCTAAGGGCCGTCTTAATCAGTCGGTTGGCATTCTCTACCAGGCCATTGGCTTGAGGCGAACGCCCCGACGAGTAGATAATGTTAACGTCCGCCCTGACTAGGTGACGTTCTACTTCGCCTTGAAATTTCGACCCATTGTCCATGTGTACCTCTTCTACGTCTAGATGCATGCACAAAAATCGATTTACGTACCAGGCTACTTCCTGCGAATTCCGGCTGGTCATAGGGTACGCCTCGATCCATTTTGAAAAATGATCGATGGCCACTAAAAGAACATTGAGTTCTCCCTGATCGACGGGCCCTCTCGGAACGTTGATATCCGTCGTATCGATGCTAACCCTTTGAAAGGGGCGCTCTACACGAGTGGGCACCATCGCCCGAGGCATCTGTACCGGCGCCTTGTCCGCCGCGCAGGCTGGGCAATTCTGAACGATGTATTTCACATCTTCCCGAATTCCGGACCAGTACCATGCGTTCTTTTCGATGGCTTTTTCCGTGCACTTGACCGCGAAATGGACCGCATCCTCCTCATGAGCGGCTCGTGTCCAATCGAACCTAGCAAGAGGGTGTGGAACCGTCAACCAGCTAGACTCTCCGTCGTCATCGACCTTCCGTTTTTGTAACGTCGGGCCCTGCCAGCGATAGTCCTGCGCCTGCTCCGTGACTCTCCGCCGTTCGGCTTTGGTAAGTTCTGACAACGAGTCGCCTGACAGTCTCCGTAGCAACAGAAGGTCCGTCCAGGCTTCTGCCCGGCGGGCACTTGGCGCAAATCCGTCGGCTGTTCTAGCGTCCAGATACCGCTTCTCGGTAGGGACTTGGTCCGTTCTACAGTTGGGACAGACCCACGTCTTTTCACTTCGGTACCTAACGCACTGTCCGTGCGATTTGACCATATGACACTGACTACACTTTACCCATAAAAGAAAACTGGGCCCTCCCGGATGTGACCCTTCTTGGTCCGGGATCATAGGCAAGGTACAGAAGAAACAGGGACTAAGGTGTGTTTCAGAGGACGAGTTGGGGCTAGACGAGAGAGCAAGGGAGTGGGATGAGGGCTGAGAGATAGCGTCGGCCATCTCCGATGAAACCTCCATTCCGGACTCATGCGTTGTCCTTACGCAGCACGTGTAGCTCCCCGTAGTGCGGTTTCGTCGCCCCGACTTCTGGCCTCCACGGAATGAGTCGCTCGTTGGCGGGACACTTGTTGGGCGGCAGAAGGCGCGTTAATCCATCGGCGTTACCATGCTGCCGCGTGGCACGGTGGCGGATGTCGAAGTCATAGTCTTGCAGACGCGCCGCCCACCTGCCCAGCGTCCCCGTGTAGTCCGTGTTGTTGCGTAGGGACAGCAGCGGCTGATGATCCGTTACCAGCACGAATTTCTGGCCGTATAGATACGGTCGGAAATGTTGAATCCCCCACACCACCGCCAGGCATTCACCTTTGCATGCTTCGTAATTAGCCTGCGCCTGGCTCAGCGTCTTGGACGCATACTCAATGACGTGCTCCCTTCCATCCTTGCCGTGCTGAGTCAGCACCGCCGATATCGCCCGAGGCTGCCAGTTTGTGTACAGTGCGAACGGTCTTGTCGAGTCGGGGAGCGCCAACACAGGAGCAGATGTCAGAGCCTCCTTCAACGCCTGAAACGCCGCTTCGCATTCCGGCGTCCAGATCAGCTGTTCCTCTTTCTTCAGCAGGTTTGTGAGGGGTTTCGCTATGCCGCCGAACCCCTTGATGAAGCGTCGGTAATAGGATGCCAGCCCTAGAAAAGCCCGAACCTGGGTGAGTGTGACTGGCGCCGGGGCGTCTTGAACTGCTGCCACCTTCCTCGGATCCGGTTTTAGTCCGTCGACCGTGACGATATACCCCAAGAATGAGATCTTCGACAAGAAGAACTCGCTTTTCTCCAAGGCCACTTTGAACCCCGCATCTTTCAGTGCATGCAAAACCCACTCAATGTATTCCACGTGGTACTCGTGTGTTTTTGAAAAGACCAAAATATCATCCATGTACACAATCACGCAGAAATTGATCAGGGGCTGGGTTAGTCGGGTTTTGTTAACGAACTCAGCGAAGGCCATATTCATGGCCCGCTGAAACGTTGCAGGGGCGTTACAAATTCCCATGGGACACCGGACCCATTGCCACGTGCCCTCAAACAAGACAAAGGCGGTTTTGGGTCGGTCCTCCGGTCGGACTGCGACGTGGTGAAAACCGTGTCGGATATCGAACTTGGAAAAGACTCGAGCGGCCCCAATAGCATCTAACAAATCATCGATTCGCGGCAAGGGATACACATCTTTGGTAGTGATGGCATTCAATTTCTGGTAGTCGATACATACCCGAACCGAGCCATTTCGTTTTGGCACGAGGATCACGGGAAAAGACAATGGTCCCAGCGATGGTTCGACCCACCCCAACCGCTCGAATTCCCATACCCTTTCCAACGCCAGCTGCCTTTCTTTAAGGGAATATCGGTACGGTCGGCGATGTATCGGGGCGTGATCCCCGGTGTCAATCGCGTGTTGTATCAAAGGGGTTAGCCCTATGTCGTGGTCCTGAATACTGACGGCCTCAGGATAGGCCCGTATAACCACCAAGAGGAGGCGTTTGTATTTGTCCGGAACACAGGCTGGTAACTGAACTTCTACGGTTAACCTAGGAAAGGAGACCGTCGTTGTAACCGTGGGGACCGCCGCGTTGGCATCGGGCGAGGCCCCAAACAAAAAGTTGTCGGTTTTCGCCGAAAGGACCGTCGCAATAAGTTGGTTGTCCGCCGGACTCATCGGTTCGCTTTCCATGTCACTGTCACTGTCCAGTTCGGGTTCGGCCGAGGGTTCGATCGAAAAGGCCTGCGTCAGTTCCCTTGGTCCCCACCGATACTCCCTCGTTCGGGGTTGAAACGACACCCCCTCTTTCAGAAGTATCGCGACTTTTTCATTCGTGAGTAGGGGCCGTGGAGGTCGAAAAGGTAAATCGCACAACCCCCTCAGCTCGGTAAATCTTTTAGGTAGGGGTCCGTCCTGAGATACAAGGACGCAGGGGGTTCCGAAAGGTCAGCTATTCGGGACATCCTCAGCAGGGGTTCCCCCTGCACCACGGAGGAGAACGCGTGCGACCAATTGGACTCGCTTCGAACTATTTCCAATGGTTCTCGCCGCCAAGAATGGCGCCACCGATCCTGAACTCGGATCGGATATCGGTCGGGTACATCAGTCTTGTTAGTTTCCGTCGAGGGTTCATTTTCGTCTGGTGATAGGCATCGGATCATGTTGATTTGATGGGCTTTAGTGGTGAGGTGAGGCGCTGGCTGGGTGCGCATGCGCACCGCCAGTCTCATTGGTATCGTTTGGGGTTTGGGGTGGGCCGATGTGAGCACCACCTTACAACTGTCAAAGTGCATTCGCGGTCCGACCGCCACCTGCCACGGAATGCCTAGCAGAACATCATACGCCTGTACATCCAGCACGATCACGTCACACAAACAATGCACCCGCCCCACCCGTATAGGCACGTTCGTTATTCGCCCTTTACAATGAATACTATCTTCCGTAGCGGATATATACTGTTCATCAGGCCGGAGGGGCTGAACCTGTCCTTCCCTTCCCAACTGTTTCGTCAATCTCCAAGAAWTGGCGACCGCCGATGATCCCGAGTCTAGGATGGCGGCCGAGGGGTTTTCCCAGACCTCACAGTCACACTCTACGCTTTTCCAGGTTATAGGATRGGCCCGGAGGAATACCTCGGGTTTTTCCGAGGCAGAATCTACGGTTTGGATCATCCCTATCCGGTTGGCTTCGTGCACCTCTGAGATCGAGGGCTGTGACTCCTCGTTAGTGGGTGGGTCCCGTAGGACCGGCTTTTTGCCCTTTCGACTTTTCTCGAATCGGCGCCTGTTCTTGAGGCACCGTTCGATCAACTTTTCGTTAGCCGCTTCGGAAATGGTTAGCAGATATGGAATAGGGACGGGGATCCGAAGATCCAGAGCCTTCAAGGCATCCAATACGTCGATATGGCCATCCTTGTATTCAGGACCAGGTACCGCAAGATCCTCGAATCCTGGTCGCCACGGCCCGAGGTCGCTTTCCTTGGTAATCCGTTGGACGTGACGTATCACTCCGATGGTCCCGGGTTCGAACATTGTTGCCGCCATATACTCATCGGGTCCTATCTCAGTGGCCGCCGGGGTCACCATCTCCGTCGTTCCTATGTCCATTACCGTGGCTACCCTCCCCTGTCCTGCAGCGGTGGGAGCAGCCAGCGGGATTTAGGAAGGTCCGGTGGGCCCGCCCTGAGTTCGGGGTTTCGGACAATCTTTCGCAAGGTGGCCTGGCTGATTACAGTTGTAACAGCGTAGGGGTGGGACAGCCCCGGCCACGACCGGTCTTATCATAGGGGCTTCGGCAGCTATAGCCGCCTATTGCCGTTGTGCGGCGGCTATGCGTTGTCGTTGCAAACCTTGAACAAACTCCGTCAACGGGGCTACTACCGTAACTAGTTGGGCCGCGACTTCTTTCATGGATACTTCTTCCTCGCCCCGACTTCCTTGCGTTTGACTAGAGCGACGGGAGGCCGAAGCAGAGGAAGAAGCTTTCCGATCCGAGCCTTTTTTTGTCGGACCCAACCCGAAGCGATCTTCGAACATTCKTGCCGTAGCGGAGTAGCTATTGCGTCGAACACCCGAAGGGTCATCTTCGCCGGATTCTGAGTCCAGGCCCACATCGTAATTTTCTTTCCCGTACTTAATTGCGTACTGAATTAACTCCGTCAGGGTATGTTCTATAGGGTTGTATTTCTTGCGGATCTTTTTCCGCAGACGAGAGTCTGACAGTCCTCTGACGAAATCAGTCCGTACCATTTTCTCATCTACCCCGGAGCGTTCGGCTAGGTACGTAAAACGTTCAGCATATCTAGCCAAGGTCTCCCGAGACTGCTGCGCGTATTCCTTTATTAAACGGAGGCATTGACCTGGTGCAATGTGATCAAATCTATCGAAATTTCCTCTGGAAGGCTGCCCAATCAGTGAAGGGGTTTTGTCCGTACCACTCAAAAGCGGTTAGGGCTAACCTTCCGGGAATTCGTTCTCGGAGCAACTGGTCCGACCAGCCCTGGGCTTTCAAGGCAGCTAGCCAGGTGCGAGGATCGGTGTCATCTTCAGAGAAAATGGGAACTTCGGAAGGAGGAGGTACAAAGTACAGGGGATGATTGGTCATCCCCGCGTGGTTGTCACCGTCGTTTTCACCCCCAATTCCGGGTTCCACCATCGCGGGAGGCGGGTTTCGAGCCCGGCCTCTCGCTCGGTTCTGATTGCTATTCGCGGGCCTCTGTCGACGGGGAGCCAGCCTACTCAAAAATGCGAAAAATCTAATAAAAGGATCAAAAGGAAAAGAAGAACTTTAAAACAAGGTAATCGTCCTAGGAAAACCTCGGAGCCGAAACGAATCAGCTCTGATACCAACCTCACGCCCCCTTGCAGCTTCCCGTACGGGGTCGCCGATCAGAGTTCTAGGAGGGGCGTGGCCGAGGATTTTTTGCCGTAAGGGTTGAGTCTCCCGGACGGAACGGGAGGCTCTCGTTTCTTGGCCGAGGTTTTTCTCGGAGTCGAACTGTCGTCGCGAAGCCCCGTGGGGGTCGAATTACTCCGAAATGATAAAATCTGAAGGGTTTCTGTGAAAATGAATTGTCGTCGTGCATCGGAATGGGAAAAGGCATCAAGGGGAGGAGGCCATGGCGGCAGACGGCAAAAACTCCGGCCGTCATGGGTTCCGGGGATAGGTGGTGGGTTCGAAGCCTTCAGGCCTCGTCATCGGCCTCACAAAGTGGCCGAACCCTCGGGTCTTTTGCTGTAGAGGTGGTTGGTTCGAGGCCTTCAAGCCTCGGCGTCGGACTCATAGAGCCCACGCGAAAGTTTCCGGGAGGGTAAAGCGGCGGGAGGACTCGCCCGCATCTGAATTCGAAATTGCGCGGGCAGCGCCCCCGCACTACGGGAAAGCTCGGGGAAACGTGTCGCTCCCTCGTAACCCAGGACCAACCGTCGCCACGAATACGAGTCCCCCTGGCGACACCAGCAACAATCAAACTGCGGTCGCCACTCGGCGTGAACGGCCGACCAGGGCAACACCGTTAAACCCGTATAAGGCAATATTAGAGTCGGGGAATCAAAGCGATCAATCAACACAAACCCGTTCCCCCTTATC